TTGGACAAGCCCACGAGCCGCTCGTTTTTTGACTCGACTCGGGCGGCTCATGAGCTGTATTTTGACCAGCCGAGTGGCCGAGCCGCTCAGCTCATTTGCCACCTCTAGGCGGCAGTAACTAGATTTTTCGGACAAACTTTTGGTAAATTAATACCTTTTTTGCTTTCGTCAACACCTTTCTTTCCCTTGTCTTCATTGGTATTTCCACCCTTCTCCATTGCTTGCTCCTATATTTTCCTCATTTTACTTCCTCTGCTCATTTCCGAATCCACATAAAAATTAGAGTAATGTTATTCATCCCCAGTGGGGATGAAAACACAGTTTACATGGTTTTAAATGATAGGTTAAATGAAAAGTGAAATTAAATGACTTATTTAATTTCACCTATCATTTAATGCCACATTGACGCTATGTAGACTGTGTTTCCATCCTCAGTAGGAATGAATAACATTACTTTAAAAATTAAGCAATCTATACACTTTGAGGCCACATGCCATTGTCTAGTTGACTTCGGTCTAAGGCTGGGCCTGAAAATAATGTGACATTTCGTTAGATAAGTATATGAAGTATTTAATTTTTTTGTGAAGTAGTAAGCTTGGCTACAAATAGGGCAATGCATCTAGGTTCATTTGAAGCGTTATCATCGGATGTATATACTGTGTAAGTTGAACATTTCATTAATCCTGTTTGAGCCCAATTTTTTTGTGTAAAATGTATTATGGAATAATAAATTGATGGAAAATATATAGTTAAAAACGAATGAAAAGTTTTTGAGTTATATGTAATATTATTTTATTGAGAAATGTATGATTGAAAAGAAGAGAAAGAAAAATGTATTTTGAAAAAAAAAAAAAAAAATAGGGATCAAAGAAGTTCGTTTCAAAACAATAAGTGAACAATATGCAATTATTTTCAAAGAAAATATCTGGAACCTTCTATTATATAATTATTAGCAGTATTTCTAAATGACATGGCGTCGCGTTGGTCATGCCACCCCACGCCACTGCTGACTTCAGAGCAGATCCTTCGCTTTTCACGGAGGCGTCGCCACATAAATCATTTAGAATTAATGTTTTTAAAATTATTTTTTTTTCTAACATTTTTAATCACACAATAATTTTTAAAAATATCATTTTTCTAATTTATTTCGTAACTTTCTCTTTTTTAACCAACGGTCTCTAAAAAAAATTTAATTTTTACGAATTTACATTTTAAAATATCAACTTCACATCAAACTTCTGCACCCTACCGTGACAAGAATCATATCACAGCCCGTTACCCAAACCAATCTTATCTTAAGCATGAAGAAATGTATATTAATAAATAATTGTACAACTACAACAGTACAAGCAATGGAATTAAATTAATTTCCACTATTCTTTCAAGGGAGTCCATTAACATACCCTAACCCTCCAACCCCTACAACGAGTTCTTGAAATTCAAAATTCATCAATAATTGTTTTTGGATTGCAATGGATTCCAAGGACAAGAAATCATCATCTGTGTCTTTTCTGGGTCCGGGCTTCAGGTTCCATCCGACTGACGAGGAATTGGTTCGATATTATTTGAGGCGAAAAGTCTGCGGAAAATCTGTCCGATTCCATGCTATTTCTGAGATCGATATTTACAAGGTCGAGCCTTGGGATCTCCCAAGTATGCACTTCTCAAACCTTTTCTTTCTTTATAATTTGAACTCTATTTGGTGTTCATTTTCGTTTATTTACTGGAGTGCGGTGGTAGCGTATTGATAAATGCAGATTAGGAATAGCCCAGGTCTTTATAATTTGATTTTTTATTTTTTATTTTTAACATAAGGGACACCAATTTTCGAATCCGACTGCTAGGCCGAGCTTTAGGCGGATCGAGTTGCTCTATTGAGCATTGAATGGTCAACCGGGGCAGTAGCACAATTGTATATATTATTGTTTCAATGTTTCAGTTACTTCGATTATACCGTTAATAGGGAGATTGTTGTTCAATAGTTATTCTTCTGTATTTAGTAATCAGTACGGTTTGCTTTATGTATAAGTAGGGCTCTTTAATGCAGAGATTGATATGGTGGCGCCTTTGTAGTAAATTTAACATTCAGTAACCATAAACGTTTTCCAGTTTTTTCCATACTGTAAGCTGTTTAAGGGGGGGAAATTACTATTATTTAATTATATGGAACAATAATTTGTATTGAATGATGAGACTTCATTTTAATGTTTGTATGTGTGCAGTTGTTAGAGAATATGCATATTGGAGGTTTGATAGAGAATGTTTTGGCATATAAGGTTTTGTTGCCAGAATATGTGGCATGGCCAGTGTTTAATCGCTCCATTTACCAAATTATAGTGAAATTTTCGGAAATGAGATTTCATTCACATAACTATGGATTGAATAATGTGTTTTCTTTGCTTCGTTGTTTTCTAAGGTTTCTTGGAAATTTTATTAATCTTATGTCTAAGGTTGTGTAACAAGGAACTACTTAGGCATTGTTCATCCTTAGAGGAAAGGGAAAAAGGAGAGGAGATAACTGATTAATATTGATTAACCTCAATTCTTTGCTACCAATATGAAAAGCAGATTTAACGTTTCTGAACATATGGTTGAATATCATTGAAACTGAAAGTAAAAGGATTCATAATTGGTAAAGTTTCTCCTTATTCATGTCTCCTTAGTCCAACTAGTGAGTTTAACTGGAGCTGAACGTGTTTCGTTTTCTGTGTCAGTTGCGTAAAACTAAATTAGTTATCATTGTCATTAGTATTGTCTGTCAAGATTGCCCATTATTACATGTACAACTCCATGTATGTATATGCAAATGCGTATTTATATAATGTAACCACCAATATATTTTTAAGCCCAGATATTTAACATTTTTTTTTTTCTAATATTTCCATATTCCAAATATTTTTCATTCTAATATGGTGGTTTTTTAGGTATGTCGAGTCTGAAGACTAGAGATTTGGAATGGTATTTCTTCAGCATGCTGGACAAAAAATATGGTAATGGAGCAAGGACCAACAGGGCAACTGAAAAGGGGTACTGGAAGACTACTGGAAAGGACAGGACTGTCTACCATAAGTTACAGATTGTGGGAATGAAGAAAACCCTTGTTTATCACATTGGCCGAGCTCCAAAAGGCCAGAGGAGTAACTGGGTTATGCACGAGTACCGGCTTGCTGATTTGGAGTTGCAGAAAGCTGGAATTAATCAGGTGGGTGCACATGATTGTGTATCTTGATCTTTTAAGTTATTCTTTGTCTTTGCCTCAAGGCTTATTTTGAGCTGACAGAATTAGTGTGGATGATGAATGTCCGAGTGATATGGTTTCTGGGGATTTAGGAAAAAGTAGGAAGTTTGAATAACTGATAGAAATAAGTTGATTGGCAATCATTTTAAATCAGATAAAAAAGCAATTATATGGGATGATATAATTGTTTTATGACCGTTATTAGTATTAGTATTAGTGTTTTATTGTTTTTAGTATGGCAATATTGTTGTATACCTTATTTTGGAGGATGATTTGTTTTACATTGCTTGATCTAATTTTTTATATTGTTGTGTTTTTTTGGTGGACAAAGGACGCTATTGTGCTTTGCCGAGTCTTTCAGAAGAGTGGTTCGGGACCAAAGAATGGCGAACAGTATGGGGCTCCATTTATTGAGGAGGAGTGGGAGGATGATGAGCTGGAATTGGTTCCCAAGCAGGAGGCTGCAGAGGAAGTAGATTTTGGTGATGATTTCTATTTGGATGGCCATGACCTTGAGCAGGTTAATGCACTTACCATTATATTGTGTTGTGTGCTAATTTTACAATGTTTCGGCCTGATTAGGGCACAGTGAGAATTTAGTGGAAATTGTGAAGGATACTTGTTTACAATGTTCTCTCTTTGCTAGATACTTCGTTTACAATGTGCTAATTTTACAATGTTCTCTCTTTGCTAGATTCTTGGAACTGACGTTCCGTCAGACATTACTCCCCTTCCATTGAACACCTACTTTGCAGACAATTCCTGCTATGAAGAAGAAACCGCCGAGTCCGGTAGTGGGGCCCAACAGCGCATGGTTGATATGGGTGAACATGAAAATGAGCCTGAAAAGCATGATGATCGAAATCTTTATGATTTGCCAGCTTCATATGATACAGTTGTAAAACAAGTCAGGCATGAATACATGGTTGAATCGAGCGAGCCTAGGAATTTGGAGGATGTGGATTACTTGCTTGATGAACCATTCTTGGATGCTTCTGATAATGTTCAATATAGTGATGAAGGATTTGTTGAAACTAACCATCTCTCAAATCCTGGTGCAGTTGATACATCTACTTTCGACGCTCTTGAGGAGTACCTTCCATTCTTCGATGCCAATGATGACATCTCACAGTATCTCTCTTGTGATCTTTCAAAGATGAGTGGAAGTGAGGATCTTATTTCTGATCACGCATTCCTCACCGAAACGGTAACCTTATTCTTTGAGCTTCACTGACTTTTCCAGGTTCACGTTGCAATTTAGTAATTAAGTTCACATTACTATTCTTTTTCAGAAGGTTGATGAAGGAACACAGCAAGCTACTGTGTCAAGTGAACAACTAATTGATAATACAAATAATGATGCGTCGTCGTCTAATAAGCAAGAGCTGGCAAAATGTCAGTCAGGTACTGAAAGAAAAATCACTCTAATGCAACTTCTTGTTTTCTGGTTATTTTGGAAGGGTGGACCGGATATTACTAAGAAGAAAAATAAGTTAAAATCTTGTTCATTTTACTCCACAATCCTGTCCCAAACATGCATCTCAAGCATTTCATCTCTGCATGCACTGTTAACATTAATAACACACTTCTAATGGGTGCAGATTTTCAGTATCCTTTCATCGAGCAGTCAAGTCTCATGTTGGGCAACGTCCCAACTCCGATGGCATTTGCATCAGAGTTTCCTTCGAAAAATGCAACTCTTCTTCTAAATTCTGCTTCCAGTTCGGCACATATTACGGCTGGCATGATTCAAATAAGGAATTTGACAGTCAATGGCAATGGAACAGATCAATCTTTTAGCAAGAGTCAGAACTTCAATATTATTCTTTCATTTGGCCTGTCACAAGGCGCCAATGGTTCTGCTAACTTGGAATCACAGGTTAGCCTACTTCCAGGGAAGGCTGTTTCTGCGATTTCTAGGGGTTGGTTCGATTTCATATTCTTCTGGGTCCTTATTCTCTCCATGAGCTTCAAAATTGGGACATATATCTGTGCCAGGTGAAGTGAATCTCGAGCAGTCTAAAGACAGTAAACCTGGTAAAAAGTTCTTAGTGAACTCGCTGGACAATGTCTCCGTGAATTACAAATTGACATGGTGCAGCATTATTTGTTTTGAATTATGTTGAAATAGTTGCTAGAATAATTAGTTTTTTAGTCTTGGATTAGGCCATTGATTGCGTTTAATCTATGAGCCAGATAGTGTTGTAGAATTATACTGGAAAATGTGACACGGCTTCTGACTTGGAAGAATTAAAATATATGGTTTGTGTTTTCAATTTATATCCGTGATTGAATCGTAGCTTGCATTTTCTTTTTCTTATTTAATAAGGTGGGTTGCACATTGGGAAAAAAAAATTAATAAAATAAAATTGTATCGTCTAATCATATTTATTATGCCATCTCTCCTTGTTCCAAATTCCTCACTAGTAATAGGCGTAGTGTTGACATAACGAGGATTCGCTATGTTTGATATTAAAGATTGAGCGATGCGATAAATCATATTTTGTCTTGTTTTCTTTCAAATATTATTCGTTCATTGGAAAATTCGTCATTAACTATCGTAGTAAGACGTTCCTTGAACTTCTTGTGTACAATTTACCAAGTACATATTTCTCATTAATGACTTTGAATTTTAAATTTTCAAAAATATTATCAAGACAAACAAAAGAGTATTTGTTGAGGCTTATTCGAAATTCAAAATTACTTTTGTTTAAAACATAGTTAAAATCGATAAGTGCTTGTTAATCAGGTAATATGTCCTTTTGAGCTTTATAATATTTTACTACGTGCAAGCAACGTGCAATGCACGTTTACCTAGTTTATATTTAATAGTTTTGTTTAAGAATTAATTTGTTATTAATAAAGATGTAATTTTTTTTGTTAATTAAATAATTAATGATGTAATGTTTATGTAATTGTAAATAATTAGATGTGTGATTTTGATGTTGTGATGTAAGTTGGTGAGATCGAAGAAAATAAGCAAAAGTTGACAAATTTGGAGAAATGACTAAATTGTAAGGGATCCAAAGTTCGGGAACTAAAATATAAATATTTAAAAGTTGTGCCGANTAATTAAAAGTTGTGCCGAATCTCACGATGAAGATTTGAGAGTGCTCGAAGTCAATTGGATAAAGGAAGATGTCAAGGGGATCAAATTTAGTCAAAAGATGATCACAAATCAATTTCCAACCGAAAAGTTATGCTCCAGTGTTTTAGTCTCATATTGATACCTTTTTTTGGCATAGGAAGTGATCGAATTGGAGAATGATGTCTGAATTAAAGTTGTAGCCAGATGAGTTGGCTTTCCAACGCATTTTGAATCTCCTCAATCGGATATCAGAATACAAAGTTATGATAAAAACACTGAAAAAAGGTGCAACTATCTGTTTAAAACAAGAAATTCCGTTACATAGTCCGTTAAAACAACAAATTCCGTTAGTTTTTCCATTAAAAACAAGAAATTTCGTTACATAGCCACTTTTAATATATAGAAGATATATACATTAGGTGCAAGTAACGTGTAATGTAC